AAAAAGTAGGTCGACGTTAATCTGGCCAGATTGAAAAAAAAATAAAAGAGTATAACCGTGATCGGAGATGCGGCTTGCACTCAAGGAAACTGATAACCATCGTCACGATAATATGATAGATCAGTACACGTGGTCTGTGTATTGTATTTATTTGTAATTGCATGCACGTCTATGTATTTACAAAATATGGCTGTTGCTACTGTATATTGGTAACCGGCATTACTGAGCCAGTAGGATAATTCAGAGCTCCGTCAATTGAAATGGATATCGATGACGTTTAAGACATGATCATTTACGTTTTTAACTGTCCGAGGTAATTACAAATAAAGACGAGTATGTCCATCGTATATGGCCGAAATAACGAAAATGTATTTAAGTCGTAACAATTATATAAAACGCCAAATAATTCATTTTTGCGAATATTATAACATATATGTAAATTGTATTTATCGTACCTCGATTTAAGCGGCTGCGACGTGGAATGTCGGTTGCAATCTCCATTCGCAACATTGTCTCCCATTTTTTCCTCTCTTAGTCGCCTCTTTCTAGTGTTGATGAATTTTCAGCGCATGGCGATGAATTCAAAATGTCAAGATGGGTGTGCGACTGCTTAGTGGAGGTCGATGCTACCATCTATCATCGCTTTCATCTATTTCTCCTTTATTTATAAGTGTGTGGTGTTTTGTGAGGCGCGCTGTTATACCGCCACCTACAGTCGCAAAAGTGAACAGCAAAGGTAGTGTAAAAGTGGGAGGGGCGGCAGTTCATAGAATAGCTTTGTCCTAACGGCTTCTCATCACAGGCGGTATCTACGAACAACGCTTATACTTTCTCGGCTGTCAAGCGTACGTTATATATTTTATAAAAGTGTAAAAAACTTTACTCACCTTTCTTACAAATTATACTGCATTTACTAATTACAAATTAATAGTTGTTGTTAAGTTAATTATAATAAATAAAATCAAAGGTACATTACATTAATGTACCTCTGTTACAATACTAGTAGATAAACTAATCTCAGACTAGTAATGCAACTAGTCTGAGAACTAAATATATAACACATCCCCGATACTCAACTGAAGCTTTCGACTAGGGTTATTCAGAGCCGTGAATACATCACTTCTTATCAAGAGTGTGAAAAACAGAAGTACGTTCTATTTGTGTTCTTGAATTGACAAATAAAAATAATCTGACAAATATAGCCCTTTAAAAGTGAAGAAAAGCACAAAGTTAAACTTGTGTTTTTCCCAAAAGATTCCTATTTTGACCGGGCTTTTTACGCATTCACTCTACCAACCAACAAACAAACACACACTTGTCTTCGATTTCTAGTAATATACACCCACTCTAAAAATCGTTACATGCGAGCAGTTTGAAACAAACCCCAATCTATGCTTTTGGGAGGATGTGCCTGTGCGTAGAAGATGTGTACAAACTGTTTTTGTGAGAGCCCCCAGCGGGCACATATAAACATTTTTCAAACAGTTTGTTTATAGCCGGGCATATGTTGACCTGTTTACGTGGAAGCACCTCAAAGTAGTTCCTTCATCTGACAGTATAATACAGCAATCCATATGTACAACATCATTTTAGACTATATTTCTAATATCTTAAGAAAGTATAACTATTTGAATTGTCTACCGCAACTAAGGACAACAGCCGAAAATAAAAAAATACACGGCGGATTAATCCCGGAACAAATACTGTTAGGTAAACATGGCGTCTCATTTGCATATGCGTGTCCTTACCACAAGTGCCTCAGTTACGTACGTTGGAATACGATTAACTTCCCGAGTCCTGGGACTATACTATAGCGTTTGTACTTTTATTGACAGGATCCACTACTTTGCGTTGACGCTAACAGGATGTCCATCTCCCGAGGAATAACCGCAGTCACTTCTATGATTTAGACAAGGAGCAATACTGATGCTGTACAGTCGCTGAAAATCGTCGTCCCTTCGCTTAGCTTCGACCAATACCAAACCAACCATGGGGTTTGGATCGGATCGCGCGGACCAAAACTTGAAAAGCAGTGTCTCTTCGTGCAAAAACTTTCAGCCGAACATTTTTAATAAGACGAAATGCCAGAACTGCTTTAGGACACGGGAGGCACATCAGCTTGAGAACGATGGGGACGGGCAAGTATGTATTTTAGTAATTTGCATTTTTGGTAGTGTTTATGATCGCGCCCAACCCATGGATATATTGGTAGCTCGATGATTAATTAATATGTGTCCGTTGGTTCTGAATCGCCAAACGTTTATATGTTAGTTTGAAAATAACTTTTGTTATGTCTATCACCTGTAGGGATCGAGGAAAGTTCTAGTGTGTGGATTTCTGTTTGTAGCACCAGGACTTGACGTGAACAACCCGTATGCACGTTCTCGGGTGAGTGAATGGTTTTAGTGATCGATCTAATCTCTCGCTGTGTCGATTTCACTGTGTAGTATCTGTGCGTGCGTGTGTGCAAGTCAACGTAGAGCACCACCGGTTCTGTCATCTCTCGGTGCCGTTAATTGTGACGGCGTGTTACGGACTGACTCAGTCGTATCAACATGATCGCCTGTCTTTCAGTATGTAACACTTGTGTGTTGTCATCCAAAATGTTGCTACACGTACAGCAATGTTGACCTTCCGTAGCCTGTCTGTTATTGTTGTTTCGTACTGTTTGAAACCGCTCTGTTATGTTGTGACCTGTGTATCCTGTCTGGCCCACCGCCCATTGTCACTACTGTCACATAAAGTCAACTCAGCGATGACTTCAAATCATTACATAACTCAACCAAGCTATGTATAGAAACGTCAACATTTTTTTTAATCTATAATCTCTAGAAGTGTTAGAATGTATATATATATTATAATTTATCCGAAAAACGTGAGTAAAATACAACAGGTGTCACTCCCCTCCGGATTTTACAGTTTGAGTTTTAGAATGTAATAATGACTGCAAAATGATTTTTAATAATTTTATAATTCTTTTAAATTGGATGTCTTGTTGAACTTTGCTCTGTGTTAACGATTTATGAACTAAAATCGAAGTGTGCACTTGTGTTGAGTTTGGAATGTGTTAGAAATTAATAATAAAATAAGAACATCAAGTAGTCCTACCCACATTAGTCGTCTTGGCTGTTGTGACATCCTCTCATTGTCGTATTGAAAATTTTACAAGAATGATCTCTTTTTTTTTATCAGTATAAATTTAAAAAGCAGAGAGAAAGTAAACAAAAATACATGTTGTTATAAATGTTCACAGAATCAATGGTGGATAAAATATAAGAGATACAACATTTATGATACATGAACTTGTGGCCATGTTCAAGGCATAAAATGTATTTTGAATTCACAATAAATATTTAGTGGGCTACCCACTGAAAGTGATCAAAAGACAGTCAAGAAAACTCTTGTGCAGTCACAACAACAGAGCCCTTATATATATATATATAGCCTTTTGAGTGCCAAAGTTAAATGCTGTCTCCATCGATAGAATAAATCCCTGTAATTTTTTCTTATATTTTTTTTTCAAAATTGTAGATCAAGGCCCTTAGTAACCAATAGGAAATTATGTCCAATGTCATCCAAAACTATATGAAACATACATAAAAACATAAATTTTGGCACAAAAGATATGGCAGTCTAATGATTGAGTACACTTTTGCATCTCAGCACATAGGCTTATTGGGTTATGATGTATATATTATGAATATTTATTTTATTATATTTTTAATATTCAAAGATTGCATTCTCTGAATTCAAGAACAACACCAATGTTGTAATGTCTTGTCTAGTTAGTGCTTCCCCAATAACAGTGGACTCCGTCAGCCATGGCCCAATTATCACAATACCCCAATTAAGAGATATAATATGCCCATAATAACATGTAAATATGTTTTCTTGTTTTAGAAATGGCAGCGACGCTGGTTTGTTTTCTACGAGAACGGGGATTTGTGCTATTCGCTGGATGATAGTGTAAGTTGTGTTTTTATTTGGGGTCTTACTATAAACTTTAGAAAATAAACCAGAATTACCTAAAAAGGACTTTCTACTATCCACTCATTCAAAATGCATTGTAGTCATGGTAACATAAATGAGACTACCTTGATGATTTTGGAGTGAGGTTGGGACCCGGATGTACATGTATAATAGTATTATATATATGTATAATAATATTATCAAATTATGCCCTGTGTTTCCATTGACTCACATGGGTGCATGAAAATTGATGAGAACATCGTGACTATAATGATTAGACAAGTGATCAACACTAGCTCATGCCCAGGGAGATGATTGCCCGTTTTCCTCAGTTGCATCATTTTTTTTTTTTGAATATCAAAACTGACTGTTGTATGATGGGTAAGTGCTCCTGTCTTCATAGCTTTTGGTGTTGATGATTGATAATGAATCTCTCAATGCAATTACCGGTATAGCTACTGTATGTGTTTTATTAGAAAGACCTACCGACAGAAACTAAATAAATCAAATTTTGCTTTTACTGTGCAGTGAATACAACTTATTTTGATCCATAGACCCACCTCTGTCATTTATGTAAACATACCTACATGTGCTACTGATTGAGCAAATGCAGCGTATATTTGCATTCAACAAAATGACGCATGTAGTACCGGTATAAACTTACTACGAAGACAAAAAAATGCTTTTAGCATTAGTAATGAAACCATGTGAATAATTTTAAGACGTTGGTGTCAACAGATGTACAGAAATTTACTGTCAAAGCATGAGAATTGAGAGCTGCATTGTCAAGACATTTTCAATATATGACATCAATGTCACCTGTGTGGATCACCTGACTACTTTATTACTTTCACTGCAACAGGTTTGCGTTATTGTCACCACAGCTGGCCATTTGTGATTATCAGTTTGTAACACTTGTCTGGTGTGAAATTTGTTTAAGCGATCCCATGAGAATACTGATGGCATCTGTATAGTTGGTGAAACGTGCTTGGTGTTATCTCGCGGGGTTTAAAATGAACTCTGTCAGGATAGTTCTGTGACATACATTTGTCCCTGGTTAAGTTCCATAATCTTGTTATGACAACCAAAAGTTAAAATCCTCAATTTTAGTGTCCGATTGATAAAATATGTGATTTGTAAATTTCATTTCATTGATTAATTTGATTTTAATTACATTTGTTGTATTTTCATAATAAATGTATTTTTTTTCACTTAAAAAAATTTAATATTCATTCAAAATGATTGTTCAAAGGCAAACTGATATTTCTCGTTGTTTCAGATGCGTTTTTAGTAATAGAGCAATATGGTAGGACATATCAATATGCTAAAGTAAAGTCAGATTCATAAACAGATTAATCTTTTCAACACCATTTTTTAGCTCCGCTGTCGACTTTGTCGAGTGGAGCTTATCATATGAGTGATTGTTCGTCGTGGTAGTCCATTTGCTTTGATATTACATATATAGGTTCTACATGTGGACCACTTAAAGATTTGTTCATTTCATGATGATATCTTCAATTATCTAATTTTGATGATTATTTTTGTCATTTTTGGTAAAAAGTGATATTTTTGAATTCTTGTTGAAAGTCCCATTGCTTTGATACTATACATATTGTTCATTTTCTAATGATATCTTCTGTTCTTTAATTGAAATGTGCATTGCTAACAGCGGAGCTATTTCAGCCGACTGGCTGCTTGTTCTAATATTCTTCAATATTTATGGAAATGAACCCTAATTTTGTAGCCAACAGAGAAAATTTGAGTAAATTTTCGGTTTTTACTCAAAAAATTTGGCTATTTTTGTTCAAATCTTCTGAACAGACTATAAACGGGACTATTTTGTGAATTTGTGATGAAAAGAGGGAACTGGTGGTGAAAAGATTAATGGCAACGTGTCATGACATTTGCAATTTCTGAACTCTTTTCTCACCCAGTCTACATGAAATCATTGACATGCTTTACAAATGGTAGATAGAGACAGGCTGTACTGGACAATAGAGTTAAGATGTTACTCACAAGGAGTCTATAGACTTTCTTTGAGTTGTTGCATGTACTTGTCAACTTCTAAATAACCTCTTTTTCCTTTTGTGTCTTTGGAATGAAAATGATACTGTCTGTCAGAGGGGGGGGGGTAGGATTGTGGAATATAAACATGGTGTTTTTTTTTATAGCAATTTATTATTTTTAAGTTACTTTTATTTAATTTATTATTTTTATTTTTTCTGGTGTTTTTCTCAGCTTAATCCCAGATCACTAATAATACATGTGTTGTTTGTTGTACATACATCTATTAAAATCTTGGTTTTATTAGTTTTTATTCTCCAGGCGGAAATCGCACTCAGGTGTGGGAATTTGACAGTAATTAGCATATCAATGCGAGTCAGATTTCAAATAATCGCTTTTCATCAGCACCCTGAATAAAGAAGTTCTGTTGAAAAGATCATGTGACTAATTTCTTGTCAGTGGTTGGCTTTTATTGTCGGTCATCAGTGTCGGTCAGTGTGATTCCGTCATGTTTTACTTTATAGTCACAACTCCTGATTTTATACTTATTTCATAAAATATAAAAAAATGAATCAGTATGGAATTTGATAATGTGACACTCATAGTAAATGTATAGTCTCGCTTAAGAAGATGTGGTGTCAGCTTAAAATTGAAATGATATCATTTACGCCAGATCTTTGGTGAAGCATATATTATTGTCATTATATTCATGAAATAACAAGACAGTGACTTAAATGCAAAGAATGGACATTTCTCGTATACAGTTTTCTTATAAAGTTACATTGACAGATGAGATTGTGTAAATTGCTGGATAGCAGGCTGTCTTGGCCTTGAAATAAACCTTTTGAGGATGTCATTGACCTTCCATCAGGCATCTAGGAATGAGTGAATGAAATTCTCAGACTGTTGATCACAGTGGTATGTCAATGACTGAACATGTATATAATGTCAGTATCAAATTTTATAGTAATGGTTATGGTATTCTAATAGTCAATCACTGTCAGTTACTCTACATGGATAAAAACAGATCATATTTATGGTTAAGAACTGCTCAATATTCGTGAGTAAAAAAAAAAGAATTTATAAAAGCAATTTTGAGGGGAGGCAAGGGGGGTAGCTGGTATGGTTTTACGGGAAATAAAAAGGGCTTTTTACCATTTACAAGAAATAAAAAGACGTTTTTACAGTTTACAGTGTTAAAAAATGGAACATTGAATGGTCCGAAGAGCTCTCCGACTCAAATTCTCCGCTTACTGCGCCGTGTGTAGAGACGCATGCGCATATTACCCTCTTCATTTGGTAAGAGGGCCTTTTATTTTGTAGTGAATTGTGTCATCTAGTCGTTTTACAGTTTTGGAAATGTAATTTCCTTGGATTATTTTTCATTTTTTTATTTGGATGTAAATTCTTGTACGTACCGAGAAAAATGACACATTTTTACAGTGTACCAAAAAAATATTTGATTGATTACGTTGTATGTCTAGCCTGTGATTACAGAATTACGGAATTTATTTTTTCTATTTACGTTGTACGAACAAAAAATATTGCAATTACGTTGAACGAAAATAATCCTAGCCCCCCCCCCTCAATTTTCAATAATTGTCTTCACTCAGATACCTCTTTACTAGTACCGAGGTAGGTACTATATTTTTTTCGAATAGTAAATTGCTTCATAGAATCCAATGTTTTGAGACAGAGCCATGCACTATTTTACTGGAATAAGTTTCTTAAAATGTGGGATATCAAATAGAATGTTCAAAGAGGTTAACATGTGTTTGATAAAGTCATGTAGTGTTGACATCCATGATGTAAATATTAGGGTGCGGTCCGCTATGACTGGATGACTGTTATCAACACATACTGTGGAGTGTCATTTTAATGAGATGTAGATATTCTCGGTGGACATCCAGGCATTTCCACAGCATGGCAACCATCATGGTGAAAACAAAGCCTGAAAACTCTCAGAAAACAGTACTTTGGGATGGTTGTTGAAACTCCCCTGAACAGTGTAACAAGATTACCCCTGTGTGTGTAACGCATATAAATTTGATTGTTCAGGTTTACTTCAAAGTTGAGTTTCTGTTGTTTTCTTGAATTTTCATCGAATCTTCCTCTGGCGTTCCGCGTTCCTCAGCAGCGCGCACAGAGCCCTTAAAAATATGAGATACAGTGGTGCGCGTCTTAGCATTGTAGAACGTCTTGTGACGTAGCTTCCCCCCCCCCCCCCCGAGGATAGTGATATAATTATGACGATTTTATATATACTCTAAAATTTGGCTGTGTTCTTATTATTTCATTTTTTCTCTCTCCGTGACATGCTTCGCTGATCATAAGGTTGACAGGTGTGTCAGACCAACTACACTGGCGACTGATGGCTCCCAAACAAATGAACATACCCACAGCTGTATTAACAATTTTATGGTGTCAAAGGTCAGGGGTGTTTCAGTACACTCCTTCACCCATCAATCAAGTCTCCTTGGACATTATTTCTTTAGTTAATTAATATGCATGTCAGTCATGGTTGGATAGACTTCCTCCTTTCATGGGTGATCGGATGGCACCAAGACTTAAAGGCCCAACAGGAAGTAGGCAGGAACATCTTTAAAAAAAAGGATAATATATCCTTCAGTTGTTAGAAGGGGTTTTACCTCTGTCATCTCTGAAAATTATTGTATTTTAATGCTCGTAAGTAAATATTATGGACAATATTTAATCTAAGCTGGTACTGAAGTTTAGATTCAATTTATTTTGCTGATCACATGGTATTCTCATCAAATGTTGTAGATGTTATCCTATGCTATAGTAAATATAATCGCTAACATATCCTCTGAATTAGCATTTGCTATTAAGTTTTTCACAACGGAATATTTGATTTTAATGTCTGTGAATACGTGAAGAGTTTAGTTGTGGCTTTGATGCAAATTTGGTATGTGGGAGTAGGTAACAGTATGGTCGTATGGTCCTATATATTATATATAAAGCAAATGTACACG